AAAAAAAAAAAAATCCCAAAAAATCCCAAAAAAATCCCAAAAAAATCCCAAAAAAATCCCAAAAAAATCCCCAAAAAACCCCAAAAAATCCCAAAAAACCCCAAAAAAATCCCAAAAAAATCCAAAAAAAAAACCAGAAAAAATCCCCCAAAATTCCCCCAATCCCCCGGAATTGGGGTTTTTTTTTTCCCCCTGGCTGGGCTCACCTGAGGCAGGTGCGTCCCCCAGGTGAGGGTGGCGCCAGGTGGGGCCGGGGTGCAGAGCCAGGGCGTGAAGCACTCGCTGAACCCGTTCTGTGAGATCGCCCTGGAAGAGGCCGTGAGGCTGCGGGAGGGCGGGGCCGCCTGCCAGGTGATCGCGGCCAGCGTGGGGACCAGAGCCAGCCAGGTGAGCCCAAAACACACCTGGGGACACCTGGGGACACCAAAAACACACCTGGGGACACCAAAAACACACCTGGGGACATCAAAAACACACCTGGGGACACTAAAAACACACCTGGGGACACCAAAAACACACCTGGGGACATCAAAAACACACCTGGGGACACTAAAAACACACCTGGGGACACCAAAAACACACCTGGGGACACAAAAACACACCTGGGGACACCAAAAACACACCTGGGGACACAAAAACACACCTGGGATACACCTGGGGACACCTGAGATAGACCCAGACACACCCGGGGCCGCCTGCCAGGTGATCGCGGCCAGCGTGGGGACCAGAGCCAGCCAGGTGAGCCCAAAACACACCTGGGGACACCTGGGGACACCAAAAACACACCTGGGGACACCAAAAACACACCTGGGGACATCAAAAACACACCTGGGGACACCAAAAACACACCTGGGGACACCTGGAACCCAACCTGGAACCTGACCTAGAACCGAGTCTAGAACCCGCTCTAGAACCGAGTCTAGAACCGAGTCTAGAACGTTCTAGAGCAGTCTAGAACCCGCTCTAGAACCTCTAGAACCTGATCTAGAACGTTCTAGAACCGAGTCTAGAACCCGACCTGGAACACACCTGGAACACACCTGGGGACACCTGGGGGCATTTTGGGGGTGTTTTGGGGTATTTTGAGGTATTTTTTGGTGTTTTTGAGGTGGTTTTGGGTGTTTTTGGGGTGTTTTGGGGCGGTTTTGGGTGGTTTTGGGGAGTTTTGGGGTGTTTTTGAGGTATTTTTTGGTGTTTTTGGGGTATTTTTTGGTGTTTTTGGGGTGTTT